AGATAGGTTTAGGCTTAGCATTTGCGTGAGTATAAGCTCTTAATGCTCTGTGTTGTGTTTTTGTTGGATGAAAGATCACCAATGAGACAACACGGTTGTTCTCTCGATGTTGCGTTAGAGATAAACTTTGTCGTGGGTGATACGTAAGGGTATTAGACTAATGATTGCGTTGTGTTTAATTTGATCAGAAGAATGCATATGTTATCAATTGATGAAATCCAATCCCAACACGGCTCTGTTTATATTTCAGTTTTTACTTTATATTTTCTGTTTTTATCCATGGTTCCTTGAACCTTTTAAACCAAAACTTTTGAACAATAGGCTTAGAAATATGGAGAACGTTGAACGGAGTTCGTATCGCACCGATCCCTGTGGAGATGACAAAACTGGGTACTTAATATTTTTTGTTTGCTGCTTTACCGCACCAACAGGTGGCGATGTCCTATCGAGTCAGTTCTTTCCGTTAGCAGCAGTCGTAGATAGTTTGTTTTTCACCCATAGATTAGACAATAAGCGTGGATCCCGTTGAGTATAACGGACGTGAGGGGTGCTCATACCTTCCCCTTGCGTAACCGACTTTCGAACCCAAGATTTGGTTGCGATGACCTGTCTTTCCCTTTTTCGTAGGTTTTCTCTGATCGTTTCCTTTCCCTCTTTTGGGATAAATAACGAACGGTGGCGACTCTTTTGTCCTTGTCGGCCCCTCTTTCGCAGCGATGCGAGAAGATGGTGCATAGGTGATTTACTACTACTATTCTCCCTTCTTCCTCTATGTGAATGATGTTTTTTATTGTTTTATTGTGTTGGGTTTTGATGTGGGAGTTGAAAAAGATTGCGGCGACAGGTGTATGATTCTGTTAAGGTATTTTGAGATAACAGTAGTAGCCGGAGTAGAGTTTGGTTGGGTGAAGTGGTGTTGTCGGTTAGGGCAACGAGGGGAAAAGAAGAGGGAGATGGAAGTTTGAGGGTTCCAAAGATGTTGTTGTTGATTCACTCAGAACCAAATGAAGACCATCGTGGAAGTTCCAAAAAAGTGAGTTTCCTGTACCTCCTCCATTTCTCCTCTCAGTTATTTTTATCGAGTTCCCTATTTGTTTCTAGTTTTTTGATTTGAAAGAGGTTCCCTAGAGGCTATTTTCTGTCCTCTCTTTTGTGTGTTTCCCTCCCTTTTAACTCAAAATGATTCTTCCTTTTTTTTAGTTTTCCAGTACAATTAAATTTGTCTGGTTGTTGATGAATGGTCACTTTCATGAGCACAAGTTATGAAATATTGTTTTCAATGTATACAAATTGCAGCTTGTTTGTCATGTTATGCATCTTTTTAAGCTTTTCTTGTTGTGTAATGGCAGTGATGTAGCAACATAAGGCTCCTTATTTGGAAGGCTTGTTGTTGGCGTGAAAAATGGCGCAGGACATTGACTTGGCAACTAGTATCATTAAATTTTGGAGTATAGTGGTTGTCTTCAAATGTTGCAGCAAGAAGCAGGATTTGTCGTTACTCAAGGCCGCACGGTGAAGCATGACAGATGAGGGTGGGTGTGGAGGATTTGTTTGTATGTTGGCAATGATAACACACAACACTATAGCAGCAGTAAGTCGCAGTATTTTGGCTTGAATTGTAGCAGTGTTTTGGCTAGCAACAGGGTGATGTTGTACGGGTAGCAAGGCATTGTGGCAATATGTTTTTTTTTTGAATTTTGTTAATCCTTTGGTTGTAAAACAAAAGAAAAGAATAATAGGCTTGAAAAGAAAAATGAAATGTAATGTTTTTTTTTGGATTTTTTTTATGTAATGGACATTTTTTTAATAAAAGAAAAAAGAAAAAGAAAAAGAGAAATGTGACAACTTGAATTTATGTGTGATAATTAATAACAAAATGGACAATTGAATTGAAAAAAGAGAAATAGATTTAATGGATTCTTGAAATGGATTTTTAAATGGATAATGTATGGATATAGAAAATGAGTTTATAATGGTTAATGAAGTGAATTTGGAATGATAGTAATGTGGATTGAATATTTGGAATTGAGATTATATTATGGAATTAGTTTAAAAAGATGGAACATGGAAAATTGAAATGAATTAGGAAGATGGTCTAAAAAACTAAAAAAGGATAATGAATTGCAAATTGGATACTAAATGGAAACTTGGATATGGGAAATGGTTTATGGATAAACTAATGAAACCGGTTTAGAAGGATAATAAAAGTCCTGATCTTATTCCACAATCAAACCTGAACTTTTGAACTAAACTCTGATGAAAACCACTCCGATCCACTGAATGATTTGCGACTGATTTTGAAACAAGTTTCTCATAAACCACTGTCTGGTTACCTGGTGAATTTCCACACGAGACAACTCGACCTCATCAGATGACCTAGACTTGCACGAAACCCTGGTGTGAAGATCTTCAAGTGTAAAGCAATGATTCATGCCAAATCCAACATGAGAATGAAACAATCTCGTTTTCTTAACCAATATCAAATCACATCAACAGAGATGAACCATACTGCACACTCATTTAATCTGCTTGCTTCAGAAGAAACTCAATTGAACATCGTTTTCCTGACTTAAATCCAAAAAGTGAGAAACCCTAATCTCCGCCTTGAGTGTATGCTGACACGATGACTTGATGGGAACCAAAATCCTGAGTCAAAGTCTTTCCAAGCAAAACATTGATGAAACCCTACAAATGACTCCTCGTGGCAACTCATAGAAACTGATATCGTACCTTGGTACACCCCTGATAGGCACTGCTCATGACCATTGAAAACCCAACACCTCTGCCTCAAACTCGAGTACCAATAACTGAAAGAAACAGTTTCTGACCAAAGGGAGTCCACCTCATCAGACCACCTTTTGTCCAAAACCCTAATTTAAACACCTTTGAAGCTTCTGAAATCAAACCCTTATTCATAATTGAAACAAAACAAACAAAAGCTAAAAAACTGGTTAAGTATACAATATGATTGACCTAGAATGATATGTAAAAGATCAAAGAATCTGAGGGTAAAAATTGGGGTATGACAATGGGGATGTGGATGCCTAGCTCTATATTAGAAATTTCATCGACCTTGTTCAACCTCTTTTTAGTACTCCTAGTCCCACTTACAAGATGTTGGGCTAATGAACTAAACCCATAAACAAATTGTTATAACATAATGGTCCACAACCTCTCAAACACGAGCCATGTAAAGATGAAGTGGTTAAGTAAACAAATAACAATCCACACTCTCTCAAGCACAAGGCCTGTAAGGGCAAAATGATTTAAAAGAATATGATGATCCATAGTCCTTCAAGCAGGAGGCACGAAAGGGGCAAAGTATTTGAGGGTGAAGACATGACAATCCAAAGTCCCTCAAGCAGGAGGCCTATAAGGGGCAAAGTGTTTAAGGAAGAGAACATGATAGTCCAAAGTCCATAAAATTGAATGCCTGCAAAAGGAGAGGCGTCCGAGGGAGATGACATGACAATCTAGAGTTCCTCAAGCACCAGTCTTTTAATCTAGTTTATCATCTCGGGGTGATGTGTATGACCACATTTTATCATGGAAAGTGATTACTTGATAATCTATCTAGTATGATGCTGATTAAAGAAACATGTCATTCTTTGAGGCGAACATCTTGGTCATATCTAAGTTAACCTCGCACTATTGAGCAATGTGGTGGAAAACCCACCACCATAGATGTAGCTTGTTGTGGCGAGTTCGCCAATTTAACTCGACACATCTATCACCTCACCTGTACAGTCATTATATTTCATGCTGATTCAATTAATATAAATTAAATACTCCCTCTGTCCTACAATGAGTGACCCAGTGGCTATTTCACACATATTAAGAAAAAAGAATAATTGAAAGAGAGAGAATGATACTTTTACCAAAGTACCCTTATCATGTATTGAAAATGATGAAAGTAACATTAATTATAGGGTAAAATTGAAAAAGATGCATTGAAAATTAAAATAGATCATTCATTTCATGACACTCTTTTATTTCAAATTGATCACTCATTGTGGAATGGAGAGAATAATAATTCTAGTAGTACAATAAGTAGAGCATACTTGTATTTCATCCCTCCAACTAAAAGCTAATATTGACTTAAAAATAAACATATTAAATAAGAATTTAATTAAAATACATTGACAGTGTAAGAGAATTTTACACCGTCAGTTAATCATAGTCATTAGATGTTTAGAAGAGTTTGACTTTTATTTTAACCACTTATAAAGTAAGGCAAACGGATGATGACGATGAATCGATGATATAAAACTTTTTACACTGACAATATATAGTAATTAATCTCATTAAGTAAATAAAAATACTTTACATGGCCTGCTTAAAATGAAAATAACGGTTATATATGATTCCACATTCATAAACTTCAACGAAAGTCGGGTTTTAAATATGCAATAGAAAACGTTTGATGAACATTTTATATGAGTGTATATACATAGAAAAAAGATTACGGTAAGAATGGTGTGATAAATGTATAATAAAGAAATGTATTGACAGTGTAAAATTTACACCGTCAGTTAATTATAACCGTTGGATGTTAGAAGAAATTTAACTCTTATTTTAATCATAAATAAAATAATACCAGCGGATAATGGCAATGAATTGACAATGTAAAACTTTTTATACTGACAGTATATAGTAATTAATCTCATGTCCAAATATCATTGTTGACAAGAAAAGCAAAGAATAGTCTAGTCTTATACATGTTACATTGTAAGACTATATACATGATGACCCCAATCCAAAACTCTAAGTTCGTGTGGCTCAAGTTTGGAATAATTAAGAATGTTCAAGCAAGTAAAGCAACCCAATCATGAGGAAAACATGGAAACCACATCACGCAATTATACAAGCAAATTATATATAGCTTCCGCATGCAGATTGCATTCAAATTGTGCAAATTATAACAGCGTCTATCACATTTCTTCAATACCAATTTCTTACAATCTTAAGTTTCTTATTAGTTGTGAGTTTGTTCGTCCTTAATGGCCAATGCTCCAAGGCTTAAATTTACAAGAGCTGGACTTATTGAAGAGACTGTACCTAATTCTGGATGGACAGAGGACTCTACCAGCCATTATCTTCTGGTGGATCTTCCTGGTATGTATTAAAAAAATATGACTAACTTTTGAATATAAAATAATTATAATATGAATTGAGTAGAATTAACCCAATACATAAACCAAAACTAAAACCAAATGATAGACTAGTATACTATTTACTAGGCTTATGTAAATGTTTGTTTCATGTAAGAAGAAAAAGCCGTGAACTATTTAGTTAGTAGATATATTTAGAAAGATTTCTTGTACAATTACAAACAAGGATTGATGCCATGAAAACAAGAATAGCTCATGGAACTTTTTTCTTCATATTGCTTCTATATAGAATTCAAGAAGGAAGATGTGAAGCTTCAGGTTGATAGCAGTGGACGCATTGTTGTTAAGGGAGAAAGGCAAGCAAGTGAGCAGAAACGTGTTCGTTTTCATCTGAGTTTTCCCGCACCAACAGATTCTGAGGTCGATAAGATAGCTGGAAAATTCGACGGAGGGATACTTTACGTGACTCTCCCCAAACAAATTGTACAAACAAACAAAGAGAGTGACAATGAGGAAGCGGGAAATGACAGTGTTGAAAGAGCAGAAGAAAATGATAGCCATATGACCAATGCAAATGATGAGGGGAGAGATTTTAATCAACATGGCGACCATTCTCATGACGAGGGGAGAGATTTCAATCAACACGTCGGCCATGCTCATGATGAAGGGAGAGATTTTAATCAACACGTTGGCCATGCTCATGATGAGGGGAGAGATTATAATCAACACGTCGGCCATGCTCATGGTGAGGGAAGAGATTTTAATCAACACGTTGGCCATGCTCGTGGTGAGGGGAGAGATTTTAATCAGCACGTCGGCCATGCTCATGAAGAACACAAAGAAGAAAGAAATGAAAATGTACACATGGGGGATTTTTCTGGAGAAGTGATAAGGAAGTGGGATCAAGAAACCATGTTAAGAAGTGCAGTGGATGTTTTATGGAAAAACAAAGAAATTGTGCTAACTGCTGTTATAGCCTTCTCCTTTGGGATGTATGTATCTAGTAAATTCCGATTTTCAGAAGCTCTATAAGAAGTCCTTTGACCTGCAACTAGGATTGCATATCCACCACTAAGTGCCTTTCATATGTATCTGTAGAACTAAGTATCGTGCAGTTATTCAAACATTAACCATATATCTAATGTATCCTTCTTTGTTTTCAATCTTAACATCAACATCTGTCATACAGTACGATATAATTTTATGTTACACAAAAGTTTTACATAAATTATTTATTCACAGTCCTTATCAAATAGCATAATATCTATCATTTTATTATCAGTTTATGATAATCTGATCAAAGTCAAGTATACAATATTAAACCAAATATAAATTTCTTAACCTCTGCATCCTCAGCTTCTAACTATGTAAGAAGTGAGAATCAAAAGAAGAGGTTTAAGCATACATATATTACAGGTTCATCTGATGAAGACAGTCTTAGACAAGATACAGTCACATAAAAGATCTGTATTCTTCCTAAAGAAAGAAGAAAAATAAACCTCCAAATTTCTCTAGAGTTTCTCTATCCAATAACTATACGCCAGCTTCTATCTTTTGATGAAAAAATCTGAAAAAAAAATAAAAAAATAAAAACCAGATGACATCACCTCTTCTTTTTTAAAACCTCCTTTGCATATGATTCTTTGAACAATATTCTCCACTGACCTAATCCAGTACCATGATCCCCCAATTATGCTAAATCAGAAAACCACTGTCAAAATTTACTTTTATCTTAAAGGATCAGATTCCTCAAGTAGTCCACCGATTTAAAAAGAGCAGAACCGCACCGGATGCTGATGCCAGAAAGAGAAGCTTCTTCCTGAGCTTGCTGTTTGTCTGCTTCTTCTGGTTACCAAACTATTTTCCTTCCTATACATGCTTTTCTTTTAAGGTAAATTAGTTAAATACTTAATGAATGACCACCCAAAAAAACGTTTGGCCAACGCTAGCAGTCCTTAGTTAAAACCCTTTGGGATACATTCAATCTCAGTTAAAAAAATTGAATACCCTCCAAGAAATTTTCAATTTTCTTACTGAAATGTGCATAAATAATAATAGTACACAATACAATCCCATCATGTGTCATTGTAAATACTGAAAAATAAAGAGCTTGTTGAACACAATTGGGATATAATGGAATAGTGCTTCAAGGAGCTTCTTGAACACTAATATATAAATCAATAGACAATATATAGTTTGCTTGAAACAAGAAAGGTGCTTGGAGTTTTTGATGTTGACAAGCGATGCATGGGAAAGAATAAGGGAACCAAAGGGGTAGGGAAGGATGGATAAAGGTGATGCTTTGTCCTAAAACTTTATTCAAAATGTAGATGCTTTTTTGACAAAAAAAAAAGATGGGCCCACGGCTGGGACGCGGAATCATGTGCCTTCCTGCTCAGGCTTTTAGCTTTCATTGAAAACTTAAGCTTAGATATCGACATTTCCATGCCTCTGTTCAAACAATGTCATCAAGAGATATGGGCATGTACTAACTACTAGTCCTATATATGGATATCGGTACACATACTTTTTATTAACATCATAATCTCTCGTGTATACTCCCTCTTACAAATTATATTTGACTTTTGAATTCAATATTGAACATCACACATAAAATAAAGTAACAATTTTTATTTTATCAAATTAATAAATTAAATCAACAGTAGAAACAAGAGATCTGGCGTGTGACAACAAACTGTGTTAAAAAATAAAGGTTATCTGCCACTCTACTAAATTTGTTGAAAGGCAAGACAAACAAGCGTGTGACACAAAGATATTACTAAATCCAAATTCGATTTTTATAGCACAAAAACTCTTCTGAAACAAAATGTTATGATTGCTTTTACAAAAATAAAATAAAAATTATGATCACCAAAAAATGCACATGTGCATTCAGGAATTGATGTTACATATAGAAATAGAAAATTTAGAATTAGAATCAGGACTTTTTGTCTGTGACTAGGAGATTAATGAATAGAAAAAGTGAGATGCTTGCTTGGGCCATTCATTCTCACTCCACAGCCATTGAAATAAATAAATAAATAAAAACATTCATAACTTAATCTTAAAATATTCTCAGAGAGAAAAATAACTAAGAATAAAAATAAAGTTGAGATAGATAACGAACCCGTAGTGGAGGGAATTGAAAAAAGTTGGAAAGAAATTCTTCGCGTGAGAGCATGGAATCCAACTTCACAACAAACCTTCTTCCCTAAATAAGCGGAAATAATATTAAAAAAATTAAAATAGTAAAAAAAACAACTCACAACACAAAACGAAAAACGAGTGTTTGTTTTTTTCTGCTCTCGAGGCAATCAATCATACACACACAGACTCACCACTGCTATCAACGCTATGAGACTATGAACACGATGGCGACGCCGTTTCAACAGGGGCCGCCGCAAACGGTGAGAAGATTGGTGGTAGAAGTTGTAGACGCGCGCAACCTACTACCCAAAGATGGTCAAGGAAGTTCAAGCCCATATGTTGTGGGAGATTTTGATGGTCAGAGAAAACGAACCACCACTCGGTTCAAGGAGCTGAACCCAGTTTGGAATGAGACTCTTGAGTTTATCGTTTCAGACCCAGAGAATATGGAGTTTGAGGAGCTTGAAGTTGAGGTTTATAATGATAAAAAGTTTGGTAATGGTAGTGGACGGAAGAATCACTTTCTCGGTAGGGTTAAGCTCTATGGAACGCAATTCTCAGGTAGAGGAGAAGAGGCTCTGGTTTACTATACGTTAGAGAAGAAGAGTGTTTTCAGTTGGATAAGAGGTGAAATCGGTCTCAAGATTTATTACTACGATGAGTTGTTGCAGCAAGAGGAGAACCAACCACAACAGCAGCAACAGGAGCAGCCACCGCCGCAGGAGGAGGAGCGGCCTTCTGGTATGGAGCAAGAGAGAAACAGACCTCAGATGATGGTTGAAGAGGGAAGGGTTTTTCAGGTTAATGGACCAATGGAGCATTGTGTTCCACTTACAGATGGTCCTCCTTCGCCGCGTGTTGTGGTTGTTGAGGAATCACCGTCTCCGGTGGTTCGTGTTCAACAGGATCCACCGTTGCCGGAGATGTATGGTCCTCCGGAACCGGAAATGCAGTACCACCAGCCGGAAGTGAGGAAAATGCAAGCAATTAGAAATGATAGAGTGAAGATTATGAAGAGACCAAACGGTGACTACGCGCCGAAAGATATCTCTGGCAAGAAACCAAACGGTGAGTCTGAGAGGATTCATCCCTACGATCTAGTGGAGCCAATGCAGTATCTGTTTGTCAGAATCGTCAAGGTTCGTGGTCTTAATCCTCCAACTGAAAGTCCATTCGTGAAGGTTCGAACATCCAGCCACTACGTGAGATCAAAGCCTGCAAGTTACCGTCCAAACGAGCCTAACGACTCACCGGAGTGGAACCAGGTTTTTGCCCTAGGTTACAACAAGACCGACGCAGCTAGTGCCACGTTAGAGATTTCCGTTTGGGATTCACCTACAGAGCAATTTCTCGGTGGCGTTTGCTTTGATCTTTCTGATGTACCTATCCGAGACTCTCCAGATAGTCCTCTTGCTCCACAATGGTACCGTCTCGAAGGAGGTGCCGCCGAACAAAACTCTGGCAGAGTCTCCGGCGATGTTCAGCTATCCGTTTGGATCGGAACTCAATCTGACGACGCTTTTCCAGAAGCATGGAGCTCAGATGCACCGTATGTGGCACACACTCGTTCCAAGGTTTACCAATCACCTAAGCTTTGGTACCTTCGCGTTACAGTAATGGAAGCACAAGACCTAAATCTGACTCCAAATTTACCTCCATTAACGACACCGGAGATAAGAGTTAAAGTGCAGTTAGGGTTTCAATCACAGAGAACGAGACGAGGATCAATGAACCATCACAGCATGTCGTTTCACTGGCACGAAGACCTTCTATTCGTAGCCGGAGAGCCTCTTGAAGATTCCATGGTCCTTCTGGTGGAAGATCGAACCACCAAGGAAGCGGCACTCCTTGGCCACGTGGTGATTCCTCTTACTTCAATTGAACAGCGGATAGACGACCGCCACGTGCCAGCCAAATGGTTCCCACTGGAAGGTGGATCCTACTGCGGCCGAGTCCACCTACGCCTCTCCCTGGAAGGTGGATATCACGTGCTTGATGAAGCGGCGCACGTGTGCAGCGATTTCCGCCCCACTGCCAAATCTCTCTGGAAACCTGCCGTTGGAATTCTTGAACTTGGAATCCTAGGCGCTCGTGGTCTCCTCCCCATGAAATCCAAGGGTCCAGGAAAAGGGTCCACGGATGCTTACTGTGTAGCCAAGTATGGGAAAAAGTGGGTCCGAACCCGAACCGTAACGGATAGCTTCGACCCACGTTGGAACGAACAGTATACATGGCAGGTCTATGACCCGTGCACCGTCTTAACCGTTGGGGTTTTTGACAACTGGCGAATGTTTGCTGACGTGTCCGAAGAAAAACCCGATTGCCGTATAGGCAAAGTTCGTATACGGGTTTCCACTCTAGAAAGCAACAAAATATATACAAGTTCATATCCATTACTGGTTTTAACTCGAACCGGTTTAAAGAAAATGGGTGAAATCGAATTAGCGGTTCGTTTCGCAAGCCCCTCGTTTCTACCCGACATGTGTGCAGTTTACGGCCAACCATTACTTCCAAAAATGCACTACATCCGCCCACTTGGGGTGGCTCAACAGGAAGCTCTCCGTGGCGCAGCTACCAAAATGGTGGCTCAGTGGCTGGCGCGATCTGAGCCACCAATGGGACACGAGGTTGTTCGTTACATGTTGGATGCTGACTCACACGCTTGGAGCATGAGGAAAAGTAAAGCGAATTGGTTTAGAATTGTGGCAGTCTTAGCTTGGGCCGTTGGATTAGCAAAATGGTTAGATGATATCAGAAGATGGAAAAATCCAGTTACAACGGTTTTGCTTCATATACTCTACTTAGTACTTGTTTGGTATCCAGATTTAATTGTTCCAACCGGGTTTTTATACGTGGTTTTAATTGGGATATGGTACTACCGCTTT